GTTGTCAAAGCTAAATGAAAAGAAAGATAAGGAAGATAAAAAGAAAGATATGATAAAAAGATTAAATAAGGAGATAAAAAATAAAATAAACACAAGATAGAGAAAAATGATAAGATCAAAAGATAATATATAAAATCAAAATGATAAAAGGGGCAAATTATACTGTGGGATCGGTTCACCATGCACATGGTGTACCAATCCCAAAACTACGTAGTTTTATTAATTAAAAGGTAAGCAACTCTTTGTTCCGAGATAAAAGGAAAGGTTTTTGAATAATATCAAGGAAAGTCTAGCAACCATCTAAGGAAAGGAAGATCAACAGACATTTTCTACCAGCCTATATATTCGAAGAATCAAGAGCAAGAGGCGTGGCTTGACTAAGCTATATTATTGAGAGATACACAAAAAGATTTACTAAGTCCAAGGCATCTGAACTTGCTCACGGAGTTCTAGATATAGTTTCTTTTCTCATCTTTATTACTACCTTCGTCACGCTATGATTGTCCCATTTTACCTTATCGGTCTGTCCCACTAAGATTGTTTCATACCAAATTTGGTAAAGTTTGTGTGGCTCTAAATCATTTTTACTTCATTCTTACTTTATCAATTCAATATCAACCACATAAACCACTTTTTATTAATTTGCGTGTCACTCCCTCTTGTCCCATTGTTAGCGGGACGGAGGGAGTATCTTGTAATTGGGCTTTGAGGAAAAGCTAAGTGTAGCTTCCTCGGGTTGGTAAAGTGTGTTGTGAGAGCTTTGTTGTAAAGATGAGAGACTCTTTACCCGCAAGGTAGAGATGCATAACTCTTCCCAGAGAGGATAGAGTTGGGGTGGCTCAAGAGTAGACTAGGAGAGTTTATCTTGTAACCACAAAGGCTTTTGTCAAGTTGTTTAAAATTCCTCCGGGGGAGGTCGATGTTTTTTTAATCCCTTTTGAGCCAAGGGATTTTTCCTCGATAAATCCTTGTGCACTTTACTATTTTGCATTTCCCTGAACCCCACACTAGAAATGTGCGAAAAACTGCCACGATTCCACACGCACACGATTCACCCCCGTCTTGTGTTACTAACCATTTCATCAGTTACATTGATCAATAATGTGAATTACATTTCTTTACACCCGAGTTACATCATTCATGCTTCTGGGATAAAAAGAAAAAAAGTTACTCTTCACGCGTGTACTGTTCACGCGTGAATTTTTTAAAAAAATTGTGTAAAATTGCATCGTTTGGGCCGTGGAGCATGGTGCTCACTGTGGGATGATCCCACGGTATACGAACTCGATAAAAGGATAATAACATAAGAAAAATAAAGAATATTAAAGGATAAAAAAGATGATAAGAGACGCGTTGCACAATCCTAAATCACATCATTTTTTATTTTTCTTATTTTAAATCTAACATAAACCATCATGTGTAATGAGGTGGAAGTAATATAACTTCGCTATTAGGAACGGTATACTATACAGCCGGCTGTACAGTGATCACTGTACAGCCGGTCACAAATTTATAATTTTTGTGAAAATCATGGATTCTTTTAAATGAGCATATATGCAATTTTGATGAGCATCAAGCATGTTCTTTTGAGTATTAGGAGCTAACGGTGAGCATCAACGATCTCTGCTTCATACCATATATATATATATATCACTTTCTATTTATTATTTTTTTGTTTATTAAAAAGTGAAGTTTTGTCTATAATCAATTTCATTATAGTATGATGTGTTTGAAATGTGCAACCTTTTAAAATGAGCATAAAGCAATATCAAATGAGTACACATAACTTTCAAAATGAGTATCAAAAAAATTAAAAGCTCATTTGTGTGTGCACATTAGTTTTGGGCGCTTTACTCATTTGAGTTTAACATAAAACTCATTTGTAATGTGAATCTAATGTAATATAATATGTTTGAAAGATACATGAATATGCCATTTTAAAATGAGTATTACACCAATTTCAAATGAGGACACATAAATTACAAAATGAGCACCGGAAAATTCTAAAAGCTCATTTAAAATATGTAGTGTGCTCAATTATTCAATTGTATATGCCCATTTAATTTCTTTTGTAAAATTATATTAGTGGGGCGGCGCACCGGCCGAATGAACGATATCAAGAAACCTCAGGCCAATCAAATTAAACAAGTAGGGCTACTTAATGCTTATTCCATGAATTTAGGTGAAGAAAGATGAAAGGATCTACACCACTACGTCCTTCCCGCTAATCCACACCAGTCCTTCTCACTGAATGAATCTGTACTCGATTCATCTCGATTTAGGGCTAGAGAGTTAGGCAATCATCTTGATTTAGGGCTGGAAGGTTAGGCGGAGTAATTAGACAGAGGAAGAGAGTTCTAAGAAAGACGATGGTTCTTTCGAATTGAAGAGGAGCGCAAACGAAGAAATCAATAGCAGGCCGAGGACGAGGAAAGCAAAAGTCATGACCTGGTGACTGTTCATCCTTCGATTAACAAAATAATCGCGGAAGGCTAAAAAAGTGCGGCTGTACCGTGCGCACGGTACAACCGGCCTTACGGTGTATTTTACCTCGCTATTAGGGTTTTATTTGATACGGAGTATACACGTGTGTAACGGCAGGTGTTCTAAGCCTTCCTTTTTTTTTCAACAAAGTAAATTCCATAACATTTTAGGGTGTTAAACATACCAAGTGAAAGATTATTTGTACCGAGCTATAAATAAATGAATGCAAAATCTCTACAATTATTATGTAAGTTTCCTTGAAATTTCACCTTGGTGTCACTTTCCATCTTCATCATCATCTTCATCTTCATCATAGGTAATTAGACGCAAATAATCTTTTAATGTTAAACGAGCATTCATAGGTAATGGATCTTCCGATCCACATTTGGTTAATCAAAGAGTGATTAGCTATTTCCCTCTTTTTGGAAGTATTTTACTTGGACAGAAATTTGTTGATCTGATCTGACATGCTTTATTTAATTTTGGACTGAATTGGTCTGATGCGAACTATATGGTATGATCTGATCTGGTTAATGTCTAGTCTCTAGTCTGTGTATTTCGTATTTTATAACTATGAAAGTCTGATCTGATCTGGTTTGTCTAAGTCTTCTCTGATTTGGGAGTGAAAACAATCAAAGTAAAAACATGCATTGAAGCAGTACGTAAAGAATCACTTGAAAACCAGTAGTAGTTTCCAGCTAGGCACATACGGGTTTGAAACTCAATGGAGTAAGTTTCAACTCTAATTACTCTAGGCCCCCGCAGCCCCCTCCCCCAGACGCACCTGGAGTAAAAAAAAAGTTTAATGTAACCACCTACTTTACATTAACTGACAGTCCCCTATCTCCTAATATGTCTGCCTGTTTTTTATATTGGCAACTTTTCTTTTTTGGATGTTACATTGACTTTGCCACTTTCCCTTTTAAGTAAAGAATTTGTGGTTTCAGTTAATTCTCTCTTCTTTGCACAAACCCCAACCACACAGTTTTTACTTTATTAATCCCCATGTCGGTCAAACTTGGCAAAGTTATTAGGAACGGAGGGAGTACATCTTATGCAGTTGTAAATACATCAATGCCATTCAAAATATTATGAGAACGTTTGGTAAACCTATTTTTCGTTTTATTTGGCTTATCAACCAACTTTTCACCAAACACGTAACTTTTGCTTTCGCACGTTGAATTGTGTAATGATAAGAAAAAGTAAGGTTTGCGTTACTTTTCTTGTTGTATTGATTGAAGTTACTGTAGATGACCATATTAGCTATTTTTACATACTACCTTCGTCCCAAATTGATTTGCAAATTTGACTTTTTTTCGTTAAACAGTTTCATTTTATTTGCTTAATTAGGATGTCAATTTTTAGTTATATTCTAATTTGAAGTTTACAACTTTGAAGAGATTTTAATGTAGTTTATGAATATATAAATTTTAATTATTAAAAATTGAATTAATTATTGATATGGAACATTGACTTTTATTATTGGTTGACAAAAAATTGTTGACTTTGCAAAACAATTTGGGACGGATGAAGTATATTTTTGTAGTGGTTGAAACTTTTTGATTTGATCAACATCAGATGTAAGTATATTTTCCTATTTTCTATTGTCTATGTCATTAGGTCTGATATGGTCTGTTTAAATTTAATTTGGAAATAAAATAAATCCAATTAAAAACAAATCTTAATACTATATATAGTTGTGAGGTCGAATAAATAAAGCCAATCTGAAACTGAATTCATTAATCAAGACTTGGCTTATAGTCTTATGCTCTCTCCGTCCCGCAATGAACTTCTCACTTTCCTTTTTTGGATGTCCCAAAACAAGTTCTCATTTCCTTAAATGGAAAATTAATCTACATCAAAACAGTGCAAAACAGTGTCAAACAATGTTGAAATAGTGCAAAACAGTGCCAAACAGTGTTGAAACAGTGTCAAAACAATAAAATTTACCACATGATAAGTTTATTTTCTTAATATGTGTGTAAGTTAAACTGTGAAGTTTATTGTGGAGTATATTACTTCAACTCTTTCACTCGATCGAGGTCACCTTTTACAGTTTTACTTTACTCTTCAAGTTACCGGATGATATAGGCATATAGCTAGCCGTGATACTAGAAAGGTAAAAGCCAAAGCGTACGTCAATTTGTTTATCTAAATATTCAAATGATTGGGCAGAAGCATTTCCATTCTTCGAAAATTAATTAGAATGTCGAATGAAAATACAGTATAAAACAACTGGTTGTATATATGTGTCAACACATGCAGTGTCCAAAAAATATTACTAAAAATGATGATTTGGTTAGAGATTTACAATTGATAATTAAACAAAAAACAGGAAGGCCCAAGACCTAGCAACACATCTTTGGGTGGGGTCCATCGTTTACTTTTGGTTTGCCGGCCGTACCATACATACCAAGATGGAGAAAAGATCATTTTTTACCTCAGTCCCACTCAACTATTTATAAGTTATAAACCCCCTCACTCCCCTAGCTACTTAATTACTTCACCCCTTAGCTTCCTTGACCCTTTTCAAGAAAACTTCCTAACCAAAAACTACACCATATCATTTCAAGAGAACTTATATATATAGCAAACATTGTATATATCATCCTTCAACAATGGCCCGATCACAACAACGATATCGTGGTGTTCGACAGAGGCATTGGGGTTCTTGGGTGTCCGAAATCCGCCATCCTTTGTTGTAAGTTACTCCCTATTGATTAAATTCTTATAGATTCTTTTTATCTACTTTTGCTGTAGGATAAGAAATAACTAAGGCTTAAGTGGATCCATTAGTACGTTAATGAATTTCTAAACCTTTATGGGGCTGTTTGGTTTGCAGGAAAACAAGGATATGGCTAGGCACATTTGAGACAGCAGAGGATGCAGCAAGAGCTTACGATGAAGCTGCAAGACTGATGTGTGGTCCAAGGGCCAGAACCAACTTTCCCTACAACCCAAACACGCCCCCACACACATCTTCATCCAAGCTACTCTCTCCTACCTTGACAGCCAAATTGCACAAATGCTACTTGGCCTCTCTTCAAATGGCTAAAACAGCCCCCCAAAGTATGTCGCCCCCACAGATGTCCCACAACTACCCCGCCATTTCTGGGAATCTCCCCGCAGAAGCAGCCTTCTGGTTTCCGGAGAGAACCCCACAAATGGCAGCACCACAAGCGGTGCAACAGCCTGTAGCGCCCACCGCGGCCTCAAACTGGGCCGCGGTTGGTGGGTCGATCGGAAACTGCAAGTCAGACAACACAATGTTCATAAAGACACTTGAAGAAGATCACATTGACCAAATGATTGAGGAGCTTCTCCATTATGGGTCAATTGAGCTCTGTTCTGTCGTCGTGCCTTAAATGGCAATTCTTTCCTAAAAAATTTAACCACTAATTTAAGGCCTTATATATACACGAATATATTTTAAATTGTGATTTAAGGATTTAATTGTGTATGGCCAACCAAGTCCAAAGCATTATATGGGTGAATTTTTACTCTTATATTAGATCGTGTAGGGGTGCAAACATAAAATCCTCTAATTTTTACTTGTAATTAGTACAGTACAAATAGAGGATGCCAGTAATTGATATTAGGTTTATTTTCCCTATTTCTAGCTACAATTTCGTCCCTAGTATTGGATAATTACTTGGGTGACGTCAAGAACGATACATGTATTCACTGTAATATATTAGAACGTAATACTAAAACTATGTTTGGCAGACATAAGTCTCTACCTTTTAGCTTTTGTACTGTTCAAAAAGTTTCTAAAAGCTTCTAGTTATATGTTTGACATGACAATTTTTAAGAGCTTTCCAAAAACAATCCAAAAACAATCCAAAAATACCTCATTCCTACCTCATATAAATACCTTTTTTTATCATCCTTTTCGCCCCTTTCCAAAAACAATCCAAAAATACCTTTCTCTCACCTCTCCCACATCTCCCCACCGGCTCCTCAAATTTCCGCCAAAACCCCCTCCTCCTTCGAAATTGCTACCGTGCTCCTCAACCAATCTCTCACCTTCTTCTTTCTTTCATCTTCTTGGATTTCTTGGATGGATATCATGGAGAAGGAAGTATCCGAGTTTAGTGATGAGGTTCTTATGGATGGATTGACATGGGGAGATGAAGCCATGAAGGTGACAAGCTTGATGATGTGGGTAACAGTGGAAATCCGCCATCTCCGCTCGCGGTTGAAGTAGCGACGACTTCAAGGGAAGAAGATGATGAAGGTGTGGACGTTGAAGTCTTGGAGAAGGGTATGTTTTTTTTCGTCATTTATTTGTATTTTGTTTGGCTGACAGACAATTTGGAACTGCAGTGTCTGTCTAGCCTAAAAGTGAAAGCGATTTCATACTTGTTTGAAGTGAACGTGGTTTATGTTGTTTCTATAGGATATTAGATTTGATTATATATGGTGGTATGCATGGAGCAAATTGTCTATCCATTTTTAGGATCTCATGACATTTTTTAGAGTAAATTCCCTAAATAGGAGTAACAAAGTTTTGAAATTTCAAAATAGGACTCATATTTTTTATTCCCTAAATAAGAGTAAATTTCTGCCAAGTTTGACATTACTAGGCTTTTAAACATGACATTTTTTTCCAAACTTGGCAGATTACTTCTATTCAAGGAATAAAAAACATGATACTCCTATTTAAAAATTTTAAAACGTTTTTACTCCTATTTAGGGCAATTTCTACATTTTTATTCCAAAGTTGCAATTGCAGAGATGATCTGTTGGGTTACGATTTGCTGCAATTGATGCATTGACCGTATAGAATTTTAGAATCATTACTTATCTTCGTTAATGGATCTTTCATTTTTTCAATAAATAAAAGTGATATAAGTAGTTGCAGAGTTGTACCGATAAAATTAATTACAAAACGTATGTACGGAGTATATAAAATTAGTTACTACCTCCGTCGCATAAAATTCTTCTCACTTTGACTTGACACGGAGATTAAGAAAGTCAGAGTCGATCCTGAGGCATCGGAAACGGGGCTTGCGCCCAGGGCCCATTGCTCCACTGGGGCCCATTAATTTTCCAGTTAAATATATACACATTTATTTTAATTATATATCAAAAAAAACTTGAAAAAAATCACTTATAATTTTCTTATACTTTCAATTCATTACAAAAAAACATCTACAAACTACAAGTTTAAAATTTTGAAATTAAACATCCACACTAGAATTCGTTGGAAACAAACTTCACCATTTCTTTTGATTCATTTATATACTTCTCTCATGTAAACTCATAATTCATTGATACCCCATAGTATTTTGCTAATTTTCTTTAATTCTCTCATGAAATGAAAGATATAAATTGTACTACTTTTCCATTAGGCCGATTTAGTTACATAGTATTCTCGGATGTCATTAACCAAATATTTAAATATAATCTTTCTAACTATCTCATTTATTAATTGCTCTAATGTGTTATACTCATATTTATATAGTAAAATTGCTCAATTTTACTTATTTTTTTTGAAATAAAAAATATAAACATTCATACATTATCCCTAAAGCCTACTCTATCTATAATGTCCCGGGCCCATAAAATGTCAAGATCGGGTCTGAAGAAAGTGGAAATGTACGGCTGTAGTTGTGTAAGAAAGAGGTGAAATGAATGTGAACCACACAAATTGTCCAAAAATGGTAAGTGGGAAGAATTTTTTGGGACGACCCAAAAAGGAAAGTTGGAAAAATTTTATGGGACGGAGGGAGTATTAAACATGATGTCCTTAAAAGTCATTTACTAAATTAACAGCTGATTGTAAACAACCATTTAACCAAACACTTTTTTTTTAAACCGCTAATACTATGAGCTCATCAAAACCGCTAACTGAAACTGCTCTTATCAATCAACTAACACAATCAGCCAACAACCAACAACCAACATCTAACAACCAATTGTCAAACACCCCCTATATCTAGAACTCATGATGGAGCTGTTTCAGACACTTGGTCTACTTAGATGCTTCAATGGAAATCTACTTTATGAACTTTCTTCTCTCGGTCAAGCTCTGTGACACCGCATCCGGACGTTTTTGAAATTCAATTTAAAATTCAAAGTTGCTTTATTGTTTTCCTTATTATCAAACAATTATAAAATGATTAATGCATCATGGAATGTATGATTAATCGTACTATCGTTGGGCCCGTATTATAATGATGGGCTTCTAAAACTTAATTTGATCATCTTATTAAATATAAGAGCCCAACATTATAAGAAGAAATATTCATAACCCTTCTAGACAAAATGAGGAAGGTCGGGCACTCCAAGTGTTACTTTGGGCCCAACATGCTAAAAATAGCAGGTTTGATGGAAAGGGAATCCTAGAACTACTTGAGGGTATCCGACATTTGTTATAGACTCCAAATAAATATTAGGAGGTCCATAATAATTGATAAATACGAATAAAGGGATGAAGGAACCCCCGAAGACAAAAACAAACTCATATGGTCCCATCTTGGACATTACTGAGCTAAATAATGAGAGTAAAGTTTTCTCTTATAATTGCACATCATATAAATTATTGGGATCATCTTACACATATTAGAGATCAACAATATGATATAGAAAGTTGACCTTATCAAAATAAATTACAATGAGTACAAACAGATATCACATGATAATTTGGATGAATCTAGAATGTTGAGTAGATACGAGTGAATTTTGGACACCAGTAAATAGTTGTTTAGGTTGTTTGGAAGGAGATTCTCGTGCTTCTTTACAAACTCAATCAACTACCTTTTATACTCCCATATAAATAGTTGATGAGCTCATAGTATTAGTGGTTTATAAAATAGTGTTTGGTTAAATGGTTGTTTACAATCAGCTGTTAATTTAGTAAATGACTTTTAAGGACATCATGTTTAATACTCCCTCCGTCTCATAAAATTCTTCTCACTTTCTTTTTTGGGTCGTCCCAAAAAATTCTTTCCACTTATCATTTTTGGACAATTTGTGTGGTTCACATTCATTTCACTTTTTTCTTACACAACTACAATCATCAATTTCCATTTTTTCAGGTCCGATCTTGACATTTTATGGGCCCGGGACATTATAGATAAAGTAGGCTTTAGGGATGATGTATGAATGTTTATATTTTTTGGAGTCTATAATTTGTAGACAACAACCTTCCCATAATTAAGTAAGAGTTTAGAAATTAGTTTTTAATTATTCTTCGATCATTACTTCTTTCAAAAGTAAAATTTCAGAAAAAGTAAGACTCAAGCTTAATGTAAAAATAATTTCATGAAATACAAATTATCAGCAAATATGAATCAATAAGAAATTATAAAATCATGCTTAAGGGAAATAACATACCAAACGATTTTGTTGCATAATTTCTAATTATGGAAATTAGATAATTTCAAGCCCTATTTTTATTCGGGCTATCAGTGGCATCATTATGCTGTAAAACAAGGACATCAAGCTTAACTTAAAAACAAATTCATGAAATAAGAGTTTACAAATTAACTCCAAATAATTTATAGACTCCCAATTATTATGGCCCTCCTAATATAACTTGCCAAAGAGTTTACAATTACAGCTTTGATGTGAAAAGAACACTTGAAGATTTGAATATAACAATTAATCAAAGCAAATGGTTTCTCTTGAGGGACAGAATGTCACTAAAATTACTACACTTAAAACTTAAAGCAAAACACTAATATTAAAGAACGATAGATTTTTGAATGAAATTATTCCATTTAAATTTGACTGCATGCTTATAATAGTCCATTGAAAGTTTCTTTAAAAACCCTTGCTGGATCATTTTTCCCCTTAGAAAAGAGCGGTCCTGTTTGGAACTGAATTCAAACCAATTTTAATTTGTCATGTTCGTTTAAGCCCCTTGAAAGAAGTAGCTCACTAGCCCTTGAATACAATGAGAAATTTTATCATGTTCGACCCAACCGGCGCTGGTTCTGACCTGACCGGGGCCGGTTCTCAACATTTTTCGTGATATAATAATCCAACCGGCACCTGTTCTCAGATCACCGGCGTCAGTCGCAGCGCCAAAACACTTACTTCCTTCTTCTTCTCATTTTGATGCTCGGGATTGATCCAGAAGTGCCGGTTTTCGATCCCTTTTGACTTTTGACCCCGTATTTGTCGCTCCTAGCCGTATTCCACACCTTTTCTCACTTTGAAATTTTTACCTGTTTTTGCTCTATATTATTGTACAAATAAATATAATTACTTATGTAAAACATAAGTAATTATTGTGTTTATCAAATTCCCCCACACTTGAGCGTTGCTAGTCCTCGAGCAATGTTGTCACCTTTGGATGCCTTGGTTAGTTCAATAAAAATATACGCGCAAGAATATTTTTAATTTTTAAGAGAGGTAAAAATGTATATAGACTCTTTTATCATTCTCGGCACAAAACCCTTTTTCTATTAGACACACAAAAAGAATATCATTAGATTTAGAAAAATTACTTATACTCTTGAATTGATGAATGGATTGTGACTAGAGCTTTTTGGATGAGTAGAATGGTTTTCTTTTGAGAGTTTGACTTTTCAATATAGAAATGGATCAATTGAAATTCTTGGAAGAGATCATGAGCCTTTTTTTTAACTCATTTGGAATGGTTCTCAAATCTCAACAAGCATTTACCAAAAGTCATTTTGATGTCCCAATTTATTTGATGGATATGGGGTTGACTTGTATTCCAAAATGTTTTTTTTTGAATATTTGAGATATATTTAAACCATTTTGGGAGATGAAAGAGGATGGTGTTTCCTAGTAACAAGGTTTCTTTTGGGAATGATTTTCAAGAGTAAAAAGTAGTGTAATAATTCTAAAAAATGATAACATTTTTGTGAGTAATAATAAAAAAAACTTTCTCAACCAAATACCCATTAAAAAGAGAAATATAACAATTTTTACCTTCCTAAAAATTAAAATATTTTGCACAAAAATTTGTTTAACCACCATGAGCTACACCCCCACACTTAAAATACATTGTCTCAATGTATGATGCATGATAAACAATTACTTCAATCAACATCCACAATAAAGTGTTTTTAGAGAAGATTGTGTCATAAACATAACAATAAAGGGTACTCAATTGTGTGGACCGAGAGAGGGTACCCATATTGAACATAAAAATGTTGTGTAAACTGATCGAACCTTTGGTCATAACCTTCCAAATGCTCATCGATTCTCGCCTGGTGAGCCTCAAAAGAATCGTAGCGGGTGTAGAGATCCCCTTTCCGGGTCTCATAGACGTCCATCCGTGTGTGCATGCGGTCCATGGAGTCGATGAGGTAGTCAAGGCTCTGTGTCATGGTCCGTCATGGAAGGGTTGCCGGTTGTGGTTGGGCTTCACCCATCTCTTCATCTCCACCCTCCTGCTCCTCGTTGTCCCCCTCTTCCTTTCGGACCCTTGTGTTTCCCACCTTTTTGAAGTGGAGGGCTACCATAGAACC